CTCCAAGTGCTTCTCTTCTATATTATTCCTTCTCTTCTGTCACTATCAGACCTTCCTCCTTCCTACCCTCTAAAAATAACCCAGCATCTGGACAATTTTCTATAAAAAAGAAAACTCCTTTAGTCATGGTTCTAACTCAAAATGCAGATGGGAGTCTTTTCAAGGTTTCTATAAAAATAAAAAAAGGCGGGGGGGGGGGGGGGAGAAAGGGAGGGAAAGAAGAAACAGGGAAGAAGAGAGGAAGAAGGAAGAGGAAGGAAAAAAGATTGATGAAAAAAAAATGGCCAGCCAACCAGCCTCTACAGAGAAAGACCAAATACCAGAAAAACTCAACCCAAAGGTCAGTTTTCTCCAAAATTATAGGCACTTGAATGCAGGTGAGAAGGGAAACAGATTCAGAGCAGTGAGAAAGGCTACCCAAGAGCCTAATGGAGGGCCCTGGAAGAACTCAGGGAGGGATGAAGATAGCAGTCAGGATGTCAGCTCCCCAGATGGAGCTGAGTTGAGCTGCCCCTCCCCAGTAGGCCATCCAGACAGCTGAGGTTACTTCCTCCTCCCCCTGAACTGTGGCCTACACTGCATTTTCTTCACTTACATTTGCTTTGGTCTCCTCTGAACACTGAGGTGGTAAGAGAACTTGCCCTGAGGTTAAAGATGCACAATTAAAGATCCCGCCAAAGCTTTCAGGCTGCTCTCTGGGCCTCAGGGTCATAACAACCATCATTCGAAGCACATCCACACCAAAATGAGCAACAAGAACTCCTACTAGTGAGGACAAAGGAGCTGTGATTCTTTTAAACCAGATAAAAATCTATTTCATATCAAGTAGCAATTCCTAAAACAAGAAAGGAACTATAGTTCTCACATTTAGAGCCTCTAAAATATTTTAAACTACTAAATTAACATTTAAGTGAAAAAATGTTTTCCAATGAAAAACAATCTTATATTCAACCAATACCTATCATATTAATCTGAATCAAAACATGTAAAACAAATAAAATGAGCTTTGAAACAAGAACACCAAAACCTATTACTGGCAACCACTCCAGTTTCACCTAGCTGAACAAAGTACAAAAATAAACAGTAAAAATGATGATAAATGGAAAATACTAGATGTTTTACCATACTAAAACCAATATTGTTACTCACTCAAGTACAACAGAGCTTAAACCTGTTAGTTTTTCACAACAGCATTCCTTTAGGATAGTTCTAATAATCTAGCTCAGACTTTTGAAAACCAGAAACAAATGAGAAATGGGCACCATATTAAGCCAAGTTATTTCCCATGGACAAGATATGGACAAGAAATCAGTTGCTAAAACTTGATTCTTTTTCACAAAGTCCTACTTTGTGCCTATAATGTTTTGCTCCTCTTTTTTTTTTTTTTTTTTTTGGGGGGGGGGGGTACAAGTCCCAGGCTGAACTCAGGGCTGGGTGCTATCCTTGAGCTTTTTTGCTCAAGGAGAGCACTCCACCACATGAACCACAGCTCCACTTCTGGCTTTTTGGTAGTTACTGAACATGAAGAATAACACAAACTTTCCTGCCCAGGCTGGCTTCAAACTGTGATCCTCAAATTTCAGTCTCCTGAGTAGCTAAGATTACAGGTATGAGCCACAAGGGTCTGGGGATTTTTGTTCCTCTTTTTCTGAGCTTTTCCAATTTCTCCATTTCACTTGCTGACCAGAAGACCTAAACAAATCAGGGGCTGTGATGAGGATCTAACCTATGCTGACTGCAGTAAAAGGATCCTGCCTGTCTGGGACTAAAAACTTCTTTAATCCATCTCCCAACCTTTTATTGAATCTAATCAGGATCCAGGTATCTGCAAATATTAAGGAAATAGAAGAGATCAAGAGAGAGAGAGAGAGAGAGAGAGATGTTTTAAGTTGCTGCTAATAACAGGTCTCAGGGCTGCCCATTCCTTTGCTGAGGGTTAGCCAATACAAACATGTGGCCTTTAACTCACCTTCCCACCTGTTGATCAGAGCACTGTAGAAGCTTAATGAAGTCGAGATGCATTACATTTATCACTTGCCCTAGATCCACTCAAATCTATCACTATGTCACTGCAAGAAGTTAGATTGATCTGACAGGATTTGCTCTTCTTCACAAAACCATGTAAGTTATTACTCAGTATCCCCACGCTCTTCTAGCTGTTTGCTGATTGATTATCTGACGATCAGGTCAAGTATCTTCTTTGGAATCACAGTAAACTAACGGGTCTATAATTTCCGAGATCATTCGTATTCCCCTTTTAAAGATAAGCAAGACAGCAAATGCGTCTTCCTGAGTTCTCTAAAGCAACAGCTAATGCTTTGCTAATAATGCACCAGGGCAGCCAATTCCTTAAGTGTCTTCAGAATCACACCATCAGAGTTCATTGATTCTGGAGATAATCTTTAATCAGGCTCAGATTCTGGTAAACAGTAACAAGCTCTAATTCAGACTGTGTCTAGAAAGCCTTGGTGCCTAGATCTGGGAAGAAAATTGGTAATACAAGTGATATAAATATGTACTGCATAATGTGTTGAGGATTGCAATCTATCAATCAATAAATAATTAAACAATACCTTTGAAAGACAGGGGAAAGGTGACACTGACAGACCAAATGAGACATGAGTCAGGATCTACCTTCAGAAACACAGAGAACTCTGTTCTCTGAAAAACAAGAGAGCAGAGCTACACAATTATCCAAACTTATAATCTAACTGAAAAGATAAGAAACATACTTAAGCATGACCCAGAAAAAAAGAAGCAACAAATGCCCTAATAGAGGTGCTAAACAATTATGAATGTTCAAAAGAGATGACTTGTGTTTTACTAGGGCTTACTAAAGTGACTGAAACCTAATTTATAAGGGAAATAATATGAAATGTTAGAATGTGGATCCCTGATTCCCTACTTAGGAAACTCTATATAAGCAAAATTTCCAACCAACTACACAAGGAAACCCACAGTGCCAGTGAACTCCAGTACTTTGGAAGGATAGAAAGCCCTACAGCATAGGCAAGAACAGGTATAGAGAAAGTATGTGACTTGGGTAGCTCCCAAGCAATATTCACTTTCATCCAAAGTTTCTTACCCAGGGCACTGTTTTTATCCAATTCTAGTCTTCCAAGGCCTGGTCTGATCCCAATGCCCTAAAGGCAAACCACTACTCTAACAGAAAACAGGAAAGAGGATAGGTGAAAGAAAAAAGGGATGTGGTGTCTGCTTTAGGTAAAATCATATTCCATTCAATAAGTAGACCTTTTCGTAGGAAAAATAAAACAAGAAATGAAGTCAGTTTATATTTGGAGCTCACTGATCACTTCCCCCAAGAACCCCACATTACTGTCACCTTCTCTTCCTTTTGCTTAATTTTAAAAGCTACTCCCATAAGAGTAATACATCTATGCATCCCCAGATTAAACATTCTATGACCTAGCTTTGCACAGAAAAATTACAGACCTATAGCCAAGCATACTTGAGGTCCTCTCACTATAATGAATTACCACATTGCTCTCCAACCATTCTCTTAAGCAAACACCAAGTCCTTCAATATCACCCAGAATAGGTACCTATTTGCTGCTAATCCAAGCTTCCTAGTAGCATTACCTTAAAAGGTAGAAGGCTTTTTACACAGATGATAAGGAAGAAAGCAAGCAAAGAAAGTTTCCTTCCTAAAAGACCACTTGTTCAGGTTATCTAATTATACATAGCAAATCATCCCAAAATTTATGACTTAAAACTATCAATAATCATTTGTTATCTCTTATAGAGACTTGGGAGTGACTTGGCTGGCTAAAGATCTCTGCTGGGATCTTTGTTACTGGGGCTGTGGTCTTCTGAAAGCTTGACTAGGACTGTTGAATTACTTTCTTTTTTTTTTTTTTTTGGCGGTCATGGGGCTTGAACTTTGGGCCTGAGCACTGTCCCTCAGCTCTTCAGCTCAAGGCTAGCGCTCTACCACTTGAGCCACAGCGCCACTTCTGGTTTTCTGGTGATTTACTGGACGTAAGAATTTCATGGCTTTTCCTACCTGGGCTGGCTCTGAACTGTGATCCTCAGATCTCAGCCTCCTGAGTAGCTAGGGTAACAGGCATGAGCTACCAGCACCCGGCTGAATTAATTTCTATGATGGTTCATTCACACAATTTGTAAGATGGTCCTAGCTTTTGGATTAGAGTCTTAGCTCCTACATACTTATCTCTCCACAGGACTATCTGAGTTATCTTGAAGTCTAGTAGTTAGCTTCTGTCAGAGCAAATGATCCAACAAAGCAATGCCAACTGCAATGTTTTTATAACTTAGCTTAGAAGTTACACATTGTTTCTTCCACTATACATTATTGGTGAGACAGGGTCATCTATGATTTAGTGCAGGAGGAAAATTGCCAAGGGTATGAATACCAGGAGAAAGAATCACTAGGGGTGATTTTGGAGGTTGGCTACCAATTACTCCTTAAAAGAACAAATAGCAAGCCAGGAACTGGTGGCTTACACCTGTAATTCTAGCTACTCAAGAGGCTGAGTTCGGAAGATCACAGTTCAAAGCCCTGAAGGAAAGTCCATAAGACTCTTAATCTCCAATTAACCACTCAGAAAAAGCTGAAAGTGGTGCTGTGGTTCAAGTAAAGTACTAGTCCTGAGCAAAAGAAGCTCAGGGACAGTACCCAGGAACTAAGTTCAAGCCCCAGGACCAGCAAAAAGAAAAAAGAAAAAGAAAAAGAAGGAAGAGACTAGAAATGGTAGCAGTATGGAGGACAGAAGGAAAGAAAAAGGACAAGAGAGAAGGGGATATTTCAATTCCCAAAATCTGAGACTAGAGAGAAACAATGTGCCCAGTTCTCCAGAGATTTCTCAAGTCTACCTTGTCCTAACATTCTTGGACTAAGTCCTGCTTTCTAGGCAGGATGGACACCTAAGTAGATAAATGCTCGGTAGACTTGAGAAAAGACTCTCCTCCCTCCCTCCTTGCCCACCCAACCTTTTCTGAAGCATTGATGCAACTGTTACCTGAGGATGAATCTGTGGCTTGTCACACGTGGCCTCAAAGTCCAGCACTAAAAAGTAGTGATACCTCTGGGGAGGGAAGGACACCATTGCCGCCATGGATGCGCCAAAGCCGTGGGCCGCCAGCTTTCGGGTGGATATGGAGCAGAACTCCGGAACACCACAGGGAGAAAATAAGTGGGAGCCCAGCACTTTTCTTGCTCTTGAAAGTAAATACGAAGAAAATCGAGCTGCTCCAGTCTGTAAAGGTGCTAGCATTGAACATCCAGAAGCATCTAAAACTTAGGGGAGGAAAGTTAAAAGAAAAAAAGAAAAACAAAAAACAGAGAGCCTGGGTTACTCCCCTCCCACTGTGGCCCTGTTCCATCTAGTCTTCAGGAATAGCCATGCAACTTGAGCCACTTCCCAGCATTCTGGGCTGCTTTTCTAAATCACAGTATTCATTACTGAAGTTCAAGACCCTAACACCAGCACCTGCAGCATTATTACAGCTCTGTGTCTCCCAGATCATTCTCAAAACAACATGCGACACTGGCCTTCATCTTTAAATGGAGCTCTGGTTCAAAAGAGAACAGAGAAAAATTCTGAGGTGACTTCTCAGGTGCAACAGTTAACTTTAAAGCTAAGAGTCCCAACGTAACATGAGGTGAACCAGTTGTGCAATAGTCCCGGGAACTAAGTAGACTCAAACAGTCCAAGGCTCTCCTCAGCTGTTACACGCCACTGGCCCCTGGTTCTCCAGTCTGTGTCTCCATGTACCACCCCAGCTGAAAGTGTGCAAGTGAGCAAAGCCAATCCCAAGGGAGTTTGCTCACATTGTTGTGATTCCCCAACCCCCATTCTAGTATGGCACCCTGGGGGAATGAAAGAGGCCTGGAGAGCACAGCTGGCAACAGCCTCAGGCCTCCTCATGTGCTGCCTTCAGTTTCACTCTCTCCTAGAGGCTCTGAGGACTTCAGGGCTTTTTAAATAGGGAGGGAAAAAGAGAAAACCCAGATGTGGCAGTAATGGGAGCATTGCTAAAAATCTAGTAAAGTTTTCTGAGGGAACATGTGCAAAAAAAAAAAATTCAAATCACTTTTCCTTTACATTTTCCCTTTAAATGTTTAGAATATCTGCTCCTCAGAGGGCTAACTAAATATAAAATCAAAGCTAAGTTTTACTCACAAAAAACCCAAGCTTTAAAAAAGAGGAGAGAAATAAAAAGAAACAATGCAGAAATTTTGTGTTTTCCCTCTTTTTATACCCAACACACAAATTTCCCTAACTTTAAACCTCAAACAAGAAATATTACCATTCTACACAGAAACCCCACTGCAACAGAACCAAAGGCTTGCCTCTCACTGGCTATAAATAAGCACTTTGCTTCTTCTATGTGGAGTAGGGGAAGTGTAGAGTACACAGAAAAGCAATGAAGCTACTACCTCCTGAGCAGAAAAGGGCAAGGGCAAATATACTCCTCTCAGCCCTCTACTACCAAACATATGTATTAGAATGTATGTTACAGTGGGTCCTCAATTTCCCTGTTCATATAGTGAGATATCATGGGAACCTAGTGAAGATGAAAAAGGACTTTAAGTTCTTCATTGGCCCAGCAAAAGCATAGGACTTGCTTTCTACCACTGCTTTATAGCCTTCCCAAAAGTGTAGCCTAAACTCCTCAGTCCAGGTAGACTAAGGCTGACTTGAAGTTCACTATGGAATCCTTTGGAAAGGCAAAAGAGCCACCATTCCTTTGAAAGCTAAAATTCAAAATAACCCATATGTCATCCATTCCTGAAGAGTACTAAAAAACCTAGACATGGGAGACATCAGTCTGCTCCGTTATGCATTCTGCTTTAGATCCAAAGACCTTCAGGGACTTAGAACTCTTATCTAACTTGATGAAATCAGGCTACACATAAAAACTTTTGAAACTCAAGTGCTCTCTAATGTGTCCATCGTTAATAGTATACAGTCACTGGACTCTTGTCTGTCAAATACTGCAGGTAATTAAGCATGATCAATCCAGGTTTGATTCCTACCTGAATCCTGTTCTTCTATCCTTTGCCTATAAAATAATAACAGGACCTATTCCTTAAGGGAAAATGAGATGAGCTAGTACATATAAAGTACAAAGAGCAAATAAGGGCTCAATAAATGCTAGCTTACTACTATTACTACTACTATTCACTTGGCTTTGCCCCCTTCACCAACTCTGCACCCCCATACTCTGGAACAATAAATCCAGTAAATATACAAAGCAGTCTTATGGAATTACATCAATATCTCTTGCATCCTATAGGACACTACACACACACACACACTCATTCACTCACTCACTCACTATCCCCTCTATAGATAACATGTTGATGGTGGAGATCCTTAAGTGAAGACCTTGATTTAACCCACATCAAAAAGAGCCTCCTAATGGAGGCAAGGCTCAGCAGTGCAGTGCCTGCCTAGCAAGTGTGAGAATCTGAGTTCAAATCCCAGTATTTAAAAAGAGAGCCTATACCAAGTCTTAAGGATAAACACTGAGAGACCAGCCTCCACAAGTCAGCACCCACTACTTCTAGCCACCAACTTCAGTTCAAGTTATCAAGCTAGCTCCTCCTTTTCCCTTCCTGGAAAATTCAATCCTAAAACCAGTGAATGAAACATTAAGGGTAGATGTGATGGCTCACACATGTAGCTCCCAGCTATTCAGGAGGAAGAGATTGGAAGGATCAGGTTTTGAAGTCAACTGAGGCAAAAAGTTAGCAAGACTCTCTCACAAGTAACCTGGGCATGGGGGTACACATCTGTAGTTCCAGCTACAAAGCAGGCATATATAGGAGGGTCGAGGACTATCCAGGTAAAAAGTATAAGACTCTATCAGAAAATAAATAAATAAATAAACCACAAAAATCTGGAGGCATGGCTCAAGTGGTAAAAGTGCTTGCCTAGCAAGTGCATGTTCCTGAATTCAAATCCCAGTATCACATCCCATATAAACAAATAATGACAACAACAAAAACTTAAATGCATAAGAGCAAGGCAAATATCTACACCAGTTGGAATGGAGGAATGAGAAGGAATCTGGAGGGAATGACAAACTCTTCTCAGGATGAGAAGGCCATCTGTGAAAAGGTGGGGTGTTGTGGCAGTGGCATGTATGGCAGTCCTTCATGTCGAAGGCAGTCAAATGTGAGGAATCATGGGTAGGATAAAAGTAGCACTCAGGAGGGGTAAAGGGAAGTGAAGATTCTGTAGACACCAAGTGACAGACCAAATAAATGCATATGTCTTAACACATGTAACAGGATCCAGGTTTTTGATAAAGGAAATAAAATTTGGGGAGAAAAAAAATCCATGGTGTTGGACTGGAATTGGCAGTAAGAATATTATTAACTCTGCTGGAAGCTGGTGGTTCACACCTGTAATCCTAAGTACACAGGAAGCTGAGATCTGAGTTTCCCAGTTCAATACCAGCATCAGCAGAAAACTCCATGAGACTCCCACCTCCAATTAATCAGCAAAAATCCTGGAAGGTATGGTTCAAGAAGTAGAACTCCAACCATAACAGGAAAACAAGCCAAGCCAAAGCGAGACACTGGATTTAAGCCCCAGTATGGGCACATGTGCACGCATGCACATGCACACATGCACACACACTCACACACATACACACACGTCTTAGTCTTTGACATGGAGATGTATAAATGTAGATGTAAATACAAGTATGATTATACATATGTATGTACACACATACACACACACACACACACACACACACACAGAGCTATGTTCTAGCTCTGTCTAAGGAAGGGCCAGAAGCAACACTCCATAGTAATAAGTACAAATAGCACTTTGTTCACTTCTAAATATCATTCTACACTATGAGAACTAGAGCTCCTTGGAGAAATAGCTGATTACAGGGCTGTGGCAGAAAAAGTACAAGATGAGCCTGAAATATCTTGTTGTCCCAGAAAAGGAAAAGCTTAAAGAATGAAGGAAATATATCAAAAGGACTCCTATTGCCAAGTAAATAATGATAGTAATGGCTTTTTTTGTTGTTGTTGTTTTTTATTGGTTGTGGGGCCTGAACTCTGGGCCTGGGTGCTGTCCCCCAGCTCTTCAGCTGTAGACCAGCACTCTACCACTTGAGCCTCAGCCCCACTTCCGGCTTTTTCTGCTTATGTGGTGCTGAGGAATCGAACCAAGGGCCTCATGCATGCAAGGCAAGCACTCTACCACTGAGCCACCTTCCTAGTTCCATAATGATAATAATGGATTGCTATGTTCTGAATAAATGAGCAAAACACGAGTACATGCATGCATATAAGCATACATACATACATACCTACAAACAACTAAAAGTTTATAGAAGGATATTTACGTACTCTCAAAGTATCTCTCCACAAAATGCTTAAATTACAATAGAAAGTAATTTTACAATATAGAAGCCTGGCAGACATCACTGTAATCAACTGAACAAAAATAAACATCATCAATAATAGGGTAAATCAAAATCATGTGCTATCAGAAAAGATGTCATTTCTATGAAAATATCAGACAAACCCTAATTGAAGGACACAATAACCAGCCTGTAATCTTCAAAAGAATCAAAATCATGAATGTCAAAGAAAGTTTTCCGAGAAAGTCTAAAGGAGGCTAAAGAGACTTGATAAGTAAATGCTAACTACAATTTTAAACCATATCATTTTGCTACAAAGAACAATCCTAGAACAATTGGAAAAACCTGAATGGGATTGGTGGATTAGATGGCAGAAACATATCGATGTTAATTTCCTAACTTTGACAGATATATTGCAGTTAGGTGAAAAAATGTCCTTGATTGTAGGAAATATACTCAAAAGTACTCAGGGAGATAGGGCATTAGTTCAAGAACTTAATCCTAAAATGGTTCAAGAAAAATTCTTTATATTGTACTTACAATTTCTATATCTATTTGGGGCTGTTTCAAAAAATTTATTTTTTAAGTTTATGTATAAGGCTGAGGGAACTTGCATAAGGCCCTGAGTTCAACACCCAGGACAATAAAATAAATATATGTATAAATAAACATAATGAAGTCATATACAATGTAGTTTTAAAAAGAAAAAACAGAACATATAGTATGTGAGGAAGAGATCCACCGTAACATCCATAGAAGGTAGGCATATGTCAGTCCTCAAAGCATCCTCAAGCTACATGGTCTATCCAGCTGAGTCTCCAAAAGAACAGTCCCACACAATGGCACCCTCCTTGGAACAATCCACTCTCTGCCATAGTCTTCTTAGGAAACATCCCTGTAACT